AAAAGATTCAGAATTGAAATTCTGTTCCCTCTGTTGTGTAAATAGTTGCGATAGGGGTAAAAAGAGTAACCACGTGTCACAGTTGTCCATTTTCAGATATGATCGTCGAAATAATAGAATCGTATTAAAGAGGTATTGCTTCGTCGTTTTTGAAACGAACGAAAGCTGTTCTAACACTAGAACTACCAAAATAATTGAAATGACCATTTGAATATTTTTGTAAGATATTTTATATAGGTATAAAACAGTGTATTTTTTGGGACTTGAATGGTTAAAAACTTGTGTACGTTATTGCATTCTGAAGATATTCTGTTTCTTTTACTTCAACGTTTCTGACGGAAATTTTATGGCCTAGTCGTCAGTAATTCTAGTTTTAAGCCAGAAAATTTGTGCCTGAATTTTTTTTCAACAAAATTATCTTAGTATTATTTCCCATCAATTATTAATTAAATTTTTATATTAAATTCTTTGCATTAATGCATAACTTGAGTGAACGTTTCTGATCGATTTTAATCTTATAATATTTGGAAGACGGAGTAGATTTCAAACTGTTGAAAAATTTGCCATCAGAGGCTGGAGTACTACCTCGTATAGAGTTAACTTGGAGCCTACGATCGTCGAGGACGTTATTTTCTGGACTGGGAGTTTGCACCGGTACCCTGGTTCTCGTCGTTTCCGGTGGCTGAGGGCTCGTACTGTCCGCCCCCCAACTTGGCCCACCGAACGTTGAGAGACTTCCCTCCATTTACGTCTCACACCAAGGTGTTTCATTTAAAATCCACCAACAGCCCTTACACACGAACGTAAAGCAAGAGTTACTCTACCGCGATGCTTACCGCGGAATTTCCACCATGCATCTTCTCCGTTTAACCGTCCATCGTGCACATGTTACAATTCACATCACATAATTGTCGTCGTCGTTCCACGTCCAACGACGGCACACAGTAATTTTTCGCAGCCTTTCGTGGAAAACAATCATGAACGGCTTCCACAACTCGGTCATGGAGCATCGAACGGACTTGGAGACGTCGTTTCCCTATCGATCGTGAGATCGTACGTCGAACGAAACGCCATTTGTGTTACCCACCCCTATTCCGGACACGTTGCAACGACACGCTATATCCTGCAAAAAGGAGCGTGATGGGACGTCCCTCTCGGAGAAACGAGGAATTTTTCTTCGACGGGGGGGGGG